ACACAGGGAAGGAAGCAAGCCACCCAGGCTGCCGCCCAGAACCAAGAAACAGTTACAGCATTCTATCGCCATCTTGTGGCCATCTTCAATATTGCACACTCAAGGCTTTCAAAGCCCCACTGCTCAGGTAGGTTTCTGTCCATCCTGGGCTTCCAGGCTCTGTGCTGCTTCAGGTCTTCACATCCCAACTACTGGCCTAGACATCCTCCGAGAAAGTGACTTCAGCTCCAACTTCTTGGAGCCAACCAGGCCCCCCATGGCCCCTGGGCCCTTTCCTGGCCATGATCCTGTACACTCCCTTCTCTCTGCTGGCAGCCACAGGGTCCCCAGTTCTGATCCTGCAGCCTGGGCCCCATATGAGCAACTTCTCTCTTGCCCTGCATGGCCCCTGGGACTCCCTGCTTCTTCAGCTCTCCTCTTTGTTTCCCAGTGACCCCCCAAGAAGGGTTGCTGTTGCTGGGCCCTCACCCCCGCATAACCCTCCCCAGCAGCTGCCCACAGCCGGCCCACTTCAGCACTCCCACGGCCACTGCAGCTGAACTGAGCCTCTCTTCAGGGCCCCCCTCCACCACCCTCTGTCCTGTTGGGCGATGTCCAGCGGCTCGCAGCAGCCGCAACCTCTCTTCTGCCAGTGTGAACTCTCCTAGCGCCCAAGCTTCACACCCCTTAGCGCTGGACACACGCCCTCCGGCTGCCCCAGCTGCCTCCAGTTCTAGCTTTATTTTGCTTTTGCTCTGAAGAGCTCCACGTTACCGTGTTTCACTATCCTCCTTCAGCTCCTGCACCCAGCACTCTGGGTGGGGGCTGTCCTTTCAAAGGCCACTGAACAGGTCCCAAACAAGGGTCTGTCTGTCTTCTCTGGCTTGCTGACTTGTGCGGGTTGCTCCCCTTGCATGTCCTTCCCTGGCCAAGTTCTCCATCCTAATTCCTCCTGCTGCTGCAACTGGCCCTGTTTCTCTGCTCATCTGCCCCTGTCCCCTGGCCTGGGCCCTGGGGGGCAAAAGCTCTTAGCACAGAGCCTGGTGTTCAGAGGTACCCCATAAATGTTGTCTGAATGAATGAATAAAGGAATGAAATAAGGAAGGAACCAGCTTTTCTGTTCTTTCTTTCTTTTTTTAAATAGGTCTCAGTCTCGCTCTATTGCCCAGGCTGGGGTGTAGTGGTGTGATCATAGCTCACTGCAACCTTGAACTCCTGGTCTCAAGCGATCCTCCAGCATTAGCCTCGCAAAGTGCTGGGATTACAGGCATGCACCACTGCGCCCAGCCAGGAGTCAGCTTTTGATGCTGTTATATGTTCTGTTTTACTGGTTGTGTTTTCTTCACTTTTTTTTTTTTTTTTTAAAGTTAGGAGTGCAAGGTTGTGTTTTCTGATTTATTTCTGCTCTTATCTTTGTTTCTAGATTTTTTTTTCCTTGTATTCTTTTCCCCCTCCATTAAGAACCTAATTTATATGCTGCAGTTATTTAATTTTTTAAATAACAAAAGTATTTAAAACTATGAAATCCTTCTAAGTACAATTTGGGGCGCCTTAATGTAATGTACAGGATTCATTTTACTTTACTTTTTTGACACAGGGTCTCGCCCAGGCTGGCGTTCAGTGGCGTGAACACGGCTCATTGCAGCCTTGACCTCCCAGGCTCAAGCAGTCCTCCCACCTCAGCCTCTGGAGTAGCTGGAACTACAGGCGAGTGCCAACATGCCCAGCTAATTAAAAAAAAAAAAAAAAGTGTAAAGACAGGGTCTCCGTATGTTGCCCAGGCTGGTCTTGAACTCCTGGACTCAAGTGATCCTTCTGCCTTGGCCTCCCCAAGTGTTGGGATTAAGTGTGAGTCACCACACCTGGCCCCAACAAAATGTTTTAAAAGCTGGTCCTTTGTCTCTGTGTCTGGACATACCCCCACCCTCGCAGGCCAGACAGGGCGGGGACAACCTTGGCAAGGGGCATGTGGGACCCATGGGCTGGCCTGGCTGGGTCTGAGTTGACTGAGGAGCCAGGCGCTTGGAATCTGCAAATAGGAATAGAGTTGGGACTGAAAGTGGAAAATGAGTCACTGGAGATCAGGGTGCACAGGAGGCCACAGTGGTTGAGGTTGAGGGTAGGTGTCAGCAGTAAGAACCCAGGGCCACTGAGTCTCAGCCAGGCTGCACACTGGAGTCACCCAGGGGAAGCCAACCCAAGATGACAACAGGTCCGGGGGGCTCGGGCACTGGAATGGTGTTTAAAAGAATCCCCTCTTCCCCCCAGGTGCTCCCTTTTGCAGTTAGGATGGAACACCGCTGCCCACGGCTCACCACAAGATCGGTGGGGGTCTATGGGCTTTTCCTGCCTGGCATCCCACCCAGCTCTTCCTCCTTCCCTGCAATCTCCAGCCCTACCCAGCCAGTGCTCCAGTGTGGCCACCCGATCATCTGCATTTTCCTTTAAAAATAATTCCATTTGGGGCCCCCAAAGCAATACATGTTCACTGTAGCACATCCCGAAAACAGAGAAAAGCACAAAGGAGAAAACAGACGTTTTCTGTTTTTTTCCCGAATGATTTACAGCAATCTGCAGTGGTTTTCAGCCTCTGCAGGTTCCCAAACCTGACTTGGCTCCTGCTCTTCTGTCTTCAGTGTGAGCATCTGTTCCGGCAGGACTGAGTGATTCTTCAGACTCCTCCAGCTTTGTCTCTTTTGTAGCCAAACATTTATTGAGTACTTACTGTATGCTGGGCACTACATGAGGCCACAGGGACCCAAAGGTCTCAGCAAAACCTCGTGGAGCCTTCAGGCCAGTCTAGGAGGAGGAGGAGGCCTGAGACCCTCCAGCGGGTCGTTTTAAAGGCCCTTGTGCGTGGACCCCGTATGACTTTTTTTCCTTCTTTCCTGGAGATTCATGTGTTGGTCTTTGTGAAGGCTGAGGTTTGGTTTCAGACAATTTTTCTAGGCTTTCCTGGCATTTAAGGGAGGCTGTGACTGTGTCCTCTGCCACTTTTCCATACTTCGTCCCCCAAAATATCTCAAGAAAAGTAAAGTCACCCTTTCTCCTTTAACCCTTTAGTACATTTGGATGTGCCGTCTCCGCCCAGCGTGATGACGTCGTAACCTGGGGCCCTGCCTGCCCCTTTCTTTTTTTTTTTTTTTTTGAGACGGAGTCTCGCTCTGTTGCCCAGGCTGCAGTGCAGTGACCGGATCGCAGCTCACTGCAAGCTCCGCCTCTCGGGTTCACGCCATTCTCCTGCCTCAGCCTCCCGAGTAGCTGGGACCACAGGCGCCTGCTACCTCACCCGGCTAGTTTTTTGTATTTTTTAGTAGAGACGGGGTTTCACCGTGTTAGCCAGGATGGTCTCGATCTCCTGACCTCGTGATCCGCCCGTCTCGGCCTCCCAAAGTGCTGGGATTACAGGCTTGAGCCACCGTGCCCGGCCGTGCCCCTTTCTATACTTGGCATGAGGTCGCCTGACTCTCACCCCTCATGGGCACAGGCAGGGCAGTCACAGAGTGGGAGGGACAGTTCTGGATGGAAAGCTGTCTTCGCTGCTCAGCCCCATTCCTGCTGCTCTCTTCAGAGCTGTAAGAACTGGGCCAAATGGTGCCCACACCTTCCAAGTCAACCTCAGATGAACTCAGAGTCAAGAGGGGAGCTACCTCCCATGCTAAGCTGAGGGTTCTGTCTCTGGCAACCTGAATCATCCACTCACACAGAGCCCGAGTTAAATTAACCCCGCATTCAGTGAGGCCCGGCCACCTGCGCAGTCTTGTGGGGGCTACAAAAACGCGTGAGACTCGGCCTTCACCCTCAGTCACGGCCCAGACTAGGGAGCAGCACACGCATGTTCAGTGTGGTCAGGGTTTTCAGGGGCTTTGAGAAGAGAGAGGGGAATCCAGGAAGACTTCCTGGAGGAGATGGCAACTGAACTTGGGTTTAAGGGAAGGGAAGAGATAAGGAGAGAAGGACATTCCCTGCTGTGGGACACTGGGCAGGGCATGGCAGAACCCAGGGGCCCCTGGGGGTGCATGGGCGGGGAACCCCAGACAGTGAGCAGCAGATTCAGACTGGGGGGAAGGGAGCACTTTGAGGGTACTGCCTGTCATGTGACTTGAGGAGATCCTGGGTATGCCTGGATGGCAGTCTGGGTGCTGGAGCAGGATGGGGGTACATGGGTGGGCAATGGGAGAAAAGGCAGGAAAGGCCAGTGAGGGCCCCTCTGGGCTCTTGGGCAGCACCACGGCCAGGCACCCTGGAGAATGAAGGTCACAATGGTCCCGAGATGGGGCTTCTGGAGGCGACTTTCGAGAACCGAATGAGGACTGGAAAGTCTGGAGACGAGGGAGCGCATTGTCCCCAGTGGAAGCGCAGGACAGTTTCCCTCAGCTGTGGTACAGGACAGAGGCCTTGGGTCGCCTGTGAGTTATTTCCCCAAGGCCTCTAACCAGGCCATTGTGGTGGGTGAGGGTCCAGAGACCCTCTTCCACTACAAGCTCCACATGCCTAAGCAGGGAGAGGCCGGACTTTTAATTTAACCCAGATCATTTGCCATCAAGAGGGAGATCCTGAGATGTTCTCTTCCTTCCCTCCCTCCTGTGTTCCAGGGAGCTCTGCTCTTGTCCCCACGGCCACAGGGGAGCCACTGTCTGTCCTTTCCTCGATGAGAGGAGGTGCTCCGGGGCACAGCTGAGTCTTCTCCACCTCTGTGCACGGTCTGGCACGCAGGGGCACTCAAAGGAGGCTTGATGCAGAGAGGCAGGGTCTACACATGCATCTCTTTTAACCCAACCGTCCATTTCCATCCTGACGGGATGCGATGCTGCACCCACAGGCTTGTTCAGGGGCAGGGGGGCTCCTGCATCGAAGCCTGGGCCAGGGTAGGTGGCAGGGTTTGAGGCAAGGTGCCCACATGCACTGGTGGCCACCCTCCTTCCACATGGCCCAGGCTCAGGCCCAAGTGATAAGAAATTCAACGGTGTGGAGAGCGCCTGCGTGGGGACGGCAAGCTGACACACAGGCCCAGGGTTTCAGAAAGCCCCTTAGCTCTCCAAGGCCCAGTGCCCAGAAGGCCCAGCACATCTGCAGCCTCAGAGTGAGCCGTGGTCCTCTGCACCCCCAGCCTCCTCTTCACCCTTCCCCAGCTCTGCTGGGTGGTGGGAAGGGGGTCCTGGGCTGAACTGTGGTCCCCACAAATTCATATGTTGAAGCCCTAACCCCCCGTACCTTAGAATGTGACTCTATTTGGAGACAGGGCCTTTAGAGAGGTGATTAAGTGAAATATGAGGTCATCAGGCTGGGCCCTAAGCAATGGCGTTCTTTTCTTTCTTTCTTTTTTCTTTTCTTGTTTTGAGATGGAGTCTCACTCTGTCGCGCAGACTGGAGTGCAATGGCACTATCTCAGCTCACTGCAACCTCTGCCTCCCGGGTTCAAGCGGTTCTCCTGCCTCAACCTCCTGAGTAGCTGGGATTACAGGCATGCGCTACCACCACGCCCAGCTAATTTTTGTATTTTTAGTAGAGACGAGGTTCCACCCTGTTGCTCAGGCTGGTCTCGAACTCCTGACCTCATGATCCGCCCGCCTCGGCCTCCCAAAATGTTGGGATTACAGGCATGAGCCATCACGCCCAGCCGCCATGGTGTTCTTATAAGATGAGCGTGTGCAGAGCCACCAGGAGCACACACAGAGAGAAGACCCCGGCGGCGCAGGGCGGAGGTGGCTACGCACCGCCACAGAGAGGCCTTGGAAGATACCCACCGCCCACATCTGGCTGGTGAGGAGGCACACTGCTGCTCTTTCACTGCGGTGCTTTGTATGTCAGCCTAACGCACCCAGATGAGGGGCACAGGGACAGGAGCAGAGAAAGGGGTCCAGGCCAGGCCCCTGGAAGTCCGTGCTTCTCCACCTTTAGGAAGCTGGAGAGCTCGCGAGCACCCACTTGCCCCCAGAAGAATCAGCTGATGAAAACAGAACCCCCAATCTTCCCAGAATCCAGAGGAACCCAAGCTAAGCAGATGGCCCATAAGTGGAGATGCCCACCTACGGGTGGCAGCGTGTTGTACCCAGAAGGAAGGTGGGGAGCCGCTGTGGGTGCCCTATGAGAGCTTCCGGCCGTGGAGACACAGCCCTGCCATCTCTGTCCGATTAACAGGGGCTGAAGGGGCAAGAGAAGAGCCAGAACGTGCTCTCGCCTGAGGAGAGCACTCTCAGTATAGTGGAGAGCCCAATAAAGAACTGAATTTCCTTGAAGAGGGTCTGGACGGGACCTGGGTGTTATGCGGGAGTGGTAGCCGAGCGCAGGTGCGGGGAGCCCCATACCTCCAGACGCAGCCGCGCACCTCCACGCGCAGCCGCATGGCTCCGTGCGCAGCCCCATGGCTCCACGCTCAGCCCCATGGCTCCACGTTCAGCCGCGTACCTCCACGTGCAGCCCTACCCCTCCAGGCGCAGCCCTACCCCTCCAGGCGCAGCCCTACCCTTCCAGGCGCAGCCCTACCCCTCCAGGCGCAGCCCTACCCTTCCAGGCGCAGCCCTACCCCTCCAGGCGCAGCCCCCCACATCTCCACGCGCAGCCAGCCTCTCTTACCTTCCCGCCTCCCGGCTGGTGCTTCAGGTTCTCGGTGGAGCCGATCTTGGACTTGACGTTCTTCAGGTCTGGCATGGGCACGGGGGCTGTCTGCAGGCGGCTCTTGGCGGAAGACGGCGACTTAGGTGGAGTACGGACCACCGCCACCTTCTTGGGCTCCCGGGCTGGAGGGGTTGGAAGGGACGGGGTGCGGGAGCGGCTGCCGGGAGTGCCCGGGGAGCCGGGGCTGCTGTAGCCACTGCGATCCCCTGATTTTGGAGGTTCACCTGGGGAGGAAGGAAGGGAGTGAAGCCAGGACTCAGGTGGGGGTCAGAAAAGGCCCTGGGGGCTGCCTGTCCCGCAGGTCCATTCCCAGGCTCACCACTGGGTTAGGCAGGTGGAAGCCAGGTTGGAAGCGCAGCTACAGCAGCAGGAGGCGGCCGCCCTGGAGAAGCATCTCCTCCTCCCTGCCTTTTTGCTTAGGGACAGAGACACCCCTTTCCCAGGAAAGCAATGGAAAACCATCAACCACTATACAACACCAGCTCCCAGAGAGGTGGCCAACTCGGCCCCTCGGTCTTTGGGTCAAGAGATGGGCTCCAACAAGCTGTGTGGTCTCAGACAAGTCACTTCTCCTCTCTGAGCTCAGAGGCCTTAATTTGAAAATGGATATAATTATAATCCCTGCAGCCAGGGTGGCTCCAGGAGGTGGTAGATATGCTTTGCCAATCTCTAGTGCAATTCTTTAGGGCCTTTATCCTAAATAAGGGTGACACAGTGACGGGACCCAGCTGTGCCCTCAAGCCTGGACGCTTCTGACCCTTTCTCCACAGGGTGAATGTTCAGCTGTTCGGCTAGTTCAGGGCTCCTGCCAGCTCCCTGGCTCCTCTGTGGGATCTGGGCTCCAGAACAGGATGCCTGCTCCATACCTGCTTGTCCCTAACTGTCCACATGAGCCATGCCACTTCATGCTGCTGTGCCCTGCCATACAGTTCCCCACCTGCCATGCATAGCAGTAAGTGCACCTTTCCAACACCCCAGAAGCTGCTGGGGGGTCTCCTCTCCACGCAGATGCTGTCCCTTCCTCCTCTGGGTGTCCTTTACCCCCAAACTTGCTTCTGTTACTGCACTTCCCAGGTCCCTGTTACACTTCAACACTCTGCTATTCTGTCTCATGGGTCCATGTTTTCCAAAGTCTGGCCCACGGAACCCTGCATCAGAATCTCTGGAGCTTTCAAGGAGGAAAGTAGGACTTGTAAAGTGCAAATTTCTGGGCCCCACTGAGAGTGGATAGAGCAGAATCTCTAGGGGTGGGGCCTGAAAAGCTCATTTTTCTCAAGCTCCCCAAAGACTGAAGTCTGAGAACTGCAGGCCTCACTCTGTGCCCAGGTGCGCTTTGCTCCCCTGCAGTCTGAGAACTTAGCTTTCCTGCTGGTCTGGAAGCTTCCCACAGGAATGCCCCTGCCGCTGCCCCAGGCATTCGCTGTAACACATACCTGCTAGCCAGAGCTGGAGAAGGGCAGCTCTTTGTTTGAAGCACCCATGTAGCCAATGGGCAGCTTGGTCAGCGATGAATGAGCACTAGTTTTATTGTTGTTGTTGTTGTTGTTGTTGTTGTTTTGTTTTATTTTGAGATGGAGTCTCGCTCTGTCACCCAGGCTGGAGTGCAGTGGCGTGATCTCGGCTCACTGCAAGCTCTGCCTCCCGGGTTCAAGCGATTCTCCTGCCTCAGCCTCCCGTGGCTGGGGGAGAATCCTGGGAATCCTGGGATTACAGGAATGCAGTGCCATGCCCGGCTAATTTTTGTATTTTCAGTAGAGACTTATTTTAGTAGAGACTGTATTTTTGTATTTTTAGTAGAGACTTCTTTTTTTTTGAGACGGAGTCTCGCTTTGTTGCCCAGGCTGGAGTGCAGTGGCATAATCTTGGCTCACTGCAAGCTCCGCCTCCTGGGTTTACACCATTCTCCTGCCTCAGCCTCCCGAGTAGCTGGGACTACAGGCGCCTGCCACTATGCCTGGATAATTTTTTGTATTTTTAGTAGAGACGGGGTTTCACCGTGTTAGCCAGGATGGTCTTGATCTCCTGATCTGCCCGCCTCCACCTCCCAAAGTGCTAGGATTACAGGCGTGAGCCACTGTGCCTGGCCAGTAGAGACTTCTTTAGTAGAGGTTTCACCATGTTGGCCAGGCTGGTCTTGAACTCCTGACCTCAGGTGATCCACCTGCCTCAGCCTCCCAAAGTGCTGGGAATACAGGCGTGAGCTACCACGCCCAGCCAGCACCAGTTTTTAGGATTTAAAGAATTCCATGTCTCTTTTTTAAATAATGTTTTTTATAGAGACGGGGTCTGACTATGTTACGCAGGCTGGTCTTGAACTTCTGGCCTCAAGCAATTCTCCCACCTCAGCCTCCCAAAGTGCCAGGATTATAGACATTAGCCACCGTGCCCTGCTGATTTCCATGTCTTGGATGTTCCTGAAGTAGTCAAGCTTTGTGGCAATAGAACACACGAAGCCTCTTCTTTTCCACATAAGGAAACAACAGATGGGGCCTCGGCCTCCAGGGCCTCCAGGCTCAGCCTCTCTGCCTCCTGAGATCTCCCATCCTCCTGCTTCCCTGACTTCAGAGACCCAGGGTGACCAATGGGCTTGGTGGTGGTAGCTCCAAATCCTTTTCATGCCTCTTACTTGCAGAGAGGTCTTGGGCAAGTCACCTGACCTCCCTAAGCCTATGTCTTCAGCTGAAAAATAGGGAGACAGCCATGCATGGTGGTTCATGCCTGTAATGCCATTGTCCCTGAAGTCAAGGAGAGCACACAGGATTAGAAAGCCCATCAGACAAACACAGCTGCACAAAATCTGGGGAAGAGAATTCGGACTGCTCCATCTTCAGGCTGCGAACCCTGTGTGAACCCTGCATTGCAGAAAAGGGTCCTGTCGGCTCTAGGAACACAAGCCAGTGAACAGCCACACATGCAAAGGGAGGCTGCTCCCAGTGAAGCAGGCTCCTGAGTACCTCTCTCAGATTTGGGCTCTGCAGGGGGTGGTTTTCTCTGCACTTGCTTGGTCGCTTAAAGAGAAAAATCCACAAAAACCTCATTATCATCAGGTTTAAACGGGGCCTTAATGAGTCCTTCACATGGCAGGCACCCACGGCCGGCCCAGCAGAGGCCCCATTCTGAAACAAGGTGGAGGGGGCCCAAGGGGGAGGGTCTCTCCACATGCAGGCAGCCACCGAAGAGCAGGTAAGACCCAAAGGGAAATGCATGACCTTGTTTCAGGTTGTTACAAAGTGTGAGTCCCCTGTAATCCCAGCACTTTGGGAGGCTGAGGTGGGCGGATCACTTGAGGTCAGGAGTTTGAGACCAGCCTGGTCAACATGGTGAAACCCTGTCTTTACTAAAAATACAAAAATTAGCAGGGCTTGGTGGCCTGTGCTTATAGTCCTAGCTACTCAGGAGGCTGAGGCAGGAGAATTGCTTGAACCTGGGAAGAAGAGGTTGCAGTGAGCCAAGATCATGCCACTGCACTCCAGCCTGGGCGACACAGTGGGCGACACAAAAAAACAACAACAAAAAACAGCGTGTGAGTCAACTGGCCCCATGTTAAGTGAAAAAAACAGCAGGATCCAAACCCTACCTAAAATCCTGTCAAAATTCTGGGAATTATCCCTGGATCACCATGTATATGAGAAGAACACCAGGCCAGAAAACACGAAGCGAAAAGACAAAAACAATGGGCCTTAGTGAACGGCCATCCTTGGGGCTGCCACCGCACCACATGTGTGTGTGAAATGCCACTGCAAAGACAGGCAGCAGGTGACAGGCAGGCTCTGGGCAGCTCCCTCAGGCCAGGGAGAAGTAGAGTCACCAAGATCCAGGCCAGGCTTTGGCCACAGCCTGCAGCAAGAGCCACAGGCTGCCTGCACACTGCCAAGGAGCAAGTGCAGGTCAGACACCCCTACGTGGTGCAGGGTCTAAACCCAATGGTGGAACACTTCACTGGGGCAATGGGAGAGAGAAGTGCTCAGGCAGGCTGTCCCTAATCCCCAAAGAGGATGACTGTTTTCTTCGTTTTTTTGTTTGTTTGTTTGTTTTGAGACGGAGTCTCACTCTGTCGCCCAGGCTGGAGTGCAGTGGTGCGATCTTGGCTCACTGCAAGCTCCGCCTCCCGGGTTCACGCCATTCTCCTGCCTCAGCCTCCTGAGTAGCTGGGACTACAGGTGCCCATCACCAAGCCTGGCTAATTTTTTGTATTTTTAGTAGACAGGGTTTCACTGAGTTAGCCAGGATGGTCTTGACCTCCTGACCTTGTGATCCGCCCGCCTCGGCCTCCCAAAGTGCTGGGATTACAGGCATGAGCCACTGTGCCCGGCCTGTTTGTTTTGTTTGTTTTCGAGAAAGAGTCTCACACTTTTGTTGCTCAGGCTGGAGTGCAATGGCATGCTCTCGGCTCGCTGCAACCTCCGTCTCCCGGGTTCAAGCGATTCTCCTGCCTCAGCTTCCTGAGTAGCTGGGATTACAGGCATCTGCTACCACGCCCAGCTAACTTTTTTGTATTTTTAGTAGAGACAGGGTTTCGCCATGTTGGCCAGGCTGGTCTCGAACTCCTGACCTCAGGTGATCCACCCTCCTCAGCCTCCAAAGTGCTGGGATTACAGGCGTGAGCCACCATGCCCAGCTGTGACTGTTCTTAATAGCACCCCGGCTGCAAAATAACTAGATGGATGCCTTACTGGGTACTCAAAACTGACTGGGTTTTACTCACAGGAGCCCAGGGCAATGGGCCCAGCCTGCGACTGCTCAGCTAAGACCCTCAGGTTTTGCAGCAGACTCCTAACGTCCCCAGCAAGTTAAGCTGCCTGGGGGTTGAGCCCTAAGTGACGTCACCCATTGTGACCTATCCAGGCTGCTGCTCTGTCTCCAGAGACATTTGTCTCCGGTCGCATTTGGGGACTGCAAACACACCATGCTAGGGCTGCCTCTGTGGAACCCTGGACTTGGGGCCAGAGAGGCTCCAAGAGCTGCCATTTAGTAGCCATATGACTACATTTTCCTCAGGCTTAAAATGAGCTGGTTAGACTCAGTCAAGCAAACTCTCAGAGGCTCGATTTCTTTGTTTTTTTTTTCCTTTTTCTATATATACTTTTTTTATCATGCTGCAGAATCAGCCTCAATTTCTTCACTGATAAAAAGTGAGGATTCAGGCTGGCAGTGGTAGCTCATGCCTGTAATCCCAGCACTATGGGAGGTCAAGGCAAGTGGATCACCTGAGGTCAGGATTCGAGACCAGCCTGGCCAACATGGCGAAACCCCGTCTCTATTAAAAATAAAAAAATTAGCCGGGCATGGTGGCAGGTGCCTGTAATCCCAGCTACTAGGGAGGCTGAGGTAGGAGAATTGCTTAAACCTGGGAGGTGGAGGTTGCAGTGAGCTGAGATCGCGCCACCGCACTCCAGCCTGGGCAACAAGAGCGAAACTCCATCTCAAAAACAAAACAAAACAAAACAAACAAACAAAAACGTGGGGATTCAACATCTGCCTCAGAAATCAGAAGAACTGCAAAGGAAATGAAGACTCCGGTGCTTAGTGAACTGCAAGGTGCTGACCAGCTGCCAGGGGCCATTCACTCTCAGTGGCCTAAGGCCTCCTAAAATGAAGGCTGTACCTCTGAGAGCTTCAGCTTCCTCTAAGATTTAAGAGAACATTCTTCTTACCAGAGCTGGGTGGTGTCTTTGGGGCGGGCGGGGTTTTTGCTGGAATCCTGGTGGCGTTGGCTTGGCCCTTCTGGCCTGGAGGGGCCGCTCCCCGGGGTGTGGCGATCTTCGTTTTCCCATCAGCCCCCTGTAAATGAAACATGGTCGAGGGTTTTTTCACCATTGGGAAAAGTTGCTGCCACCGAGTCAACACCAGCCCCACTCCGCACCTTGACTCAAAACGCGGTTAAGACTGGGGTGACCCTTTGCCTTCTAGATGCCACAAGTGTCTGCTACAATCATGAGGGCTTGCTGGGCACACAATTCCACATCCCCACCCAAACTCCAAGTTCCCTGAGGACATTTCCTCTCAGAGGAACTGTGTGCATTGGTTATCAGCATGAGTTGTGCCAAGGCCAGCAGAGCTTACAGCAATGATCAAGTCACTCTCCACTCCATGTCAATCAATCGGCAGGACATTAGTGCACTATGCATAGGCGGATATCCATTTTCTGACTCTAATTATGGATTTATTTGGCTGATGGTGGTTGGTTCCACCAGAGGCCCTTGGAGACAGTGTTGAACCTGGCCAAGGATGCTAAAGAGAGCTACGTTGTGTTCTTTCATTCTCTCCCATACAACCCTAAGGCGTCAGGAACTCCTTGGGTGTGCTCAGAACAGGTGAGCACCCGAGGAAGGGAGCACCAGCATCACTGACAAAGCTGGCAGAGTCGGGCATGGCATAGTCTAGGGACTAGGGCAGTCCCTGGGTTCGGCTACCCAGCAGATGACCCTTAGACATAACACAAACTCAAAGAAGAAACTGACATTAACTAAGGACCACAAGCTAGTCCAGGGGGGAGTGGGCTCACAGGGCAGTGTTGCTGTGGCCTGATGCTGTCCTACCCAGATCAGGGCAATCTGGAAGCATTTCTGTTACCAAAATCAGGAATGGGTAAAGGAACCTAATGAGAGTAGCCATTTTGGGTTTGTTTTTAAAAAAAATTTTGCAACAGAGTCTTGCTCTGTCACCCAAGCTGGAGCCCAGTGGCACAATCTTGGCTCACTGCAACCTCTGCTACTGGAGTTCGAGCAATTCTTGTGCCTCAGCCTCCCGAGTAGCTGCAATTACAGGTGCACACCACCATGCTCGGCTAATTTTTGTATTTATAGTAGAGACAGGATTTCACTATGTTGGCCAGGCTGGTCTCGAACTCCTGACCTCAGGTGATCCACCCTCCTCGGTCTCCCAAAGAGCTGGGATTACAGTGTGAGCCACCGTGCCCAGCCTTAGAGTAGCAATTTCGAAACCAAGGTCCCACCACGTGTCTGAGGGGCTGCTGCTATGAGAGCCTGTGGGGTGCTGAAAGGTACGGCCCCCAGCTCTCTTTTCCTCTTTGCCCAGAATTCTAACTATTTACACGGTGCTTCTGTGTCAGAGCTCATTTGAAGAAAGGTCTTTGAGGCTAAAAAAACAAAAAACAAAAAACACCCCACATTTGCAAACCACAGCAGAGCAGCCTGGTTCTTTTCAAAGGTGGTTTCCTTACCTTGAGTTTCATCTCCTTTGCTCCAGAACTGCCAGTTCGGGGAGTGACAGAAGAGACGTATTTAGGAGAGGAAGGTGGCTCTGGGCACACGGCAGGGCTGGAGGGTTGGATCAGAGGGTCTGAGCTACCAGGAGTGGGGTGTTTGGGGCTAAGGCAAGGCCTATTTTTCAAGGTTTTAGCAGAGGAACGTGTGGATGTCTTAAACATAAACATAAATAAAATCAAAATAAAAGTCAGCACATGGAGGAGGAAAACAAACTGAAAAAAGGACAGTAACTAAAAATAAATAAGGCAGGTAATGGTTGAAAGCAGTGATCTCCAGGCTGTTTGAATCAGGTACCCTTAACATCCCATCTGATCAGTAAGAACAGGAAAGTGACCATCCTCCCCAGTCATACTTCTTATATGACCAACTTATTCAACTCACATCTGACAAAGCTTTTAGAAGAGGACATGACAAAGGAATGGAAGTTCTAGTATGTTCTTTCTCCAGCCTGTTAGATGTGACTGTGCCCCTGAATTTGAAGACCACTGGTGTAAGGGTGCTTCACATGAGTAAGTTGACGGAGATCATCAAGGTACATGAATCTTAGGATGTTACTCAAGAAAATGTCGCCAAGTGTGTCATGGGTCTGAAGGGCCTTACTTTCTACTCAATTCCAGGCAAGGGGCTTTTTTGCCTGCCCATTAACCCATGGCCTCTTCCACCACACTGATAGACTCAATCAGGAGTGTGCCCACCCCACGTTGGAAAGATTCTATCTTAGGTTATGCCCACCCCCACCACACATGTGCTTTCTGATTAAAGTCTCAGATCAAACTAATATTAACACTATTTGGTGAATCCTAATCTGGCCAATGTTAACTCTTTTTTTGTCATTGTTGGTTTTAGAGACAGGGTCTCCCTCTGTTGCCCTGGCTGGAGTGCAGTGGTGCCATCACGGCTCACTGCAGCCTCTACCTTTTGGGCTCAAGTGATCCTCCCACCACTGCCTGGCCAATTAAATTTTCGTTTTAGAGATGGGGTCTTGCTATGTTGCCCAGGCTGGTCTAGAACTCTTGGGCTCGGGAGGTCCTCCCACCTTAGCCTCCCAAAGTGCTGGGGTTACAGGCATGAGCCACTGTGCCAAGCCTCCAATGTTTTCTCTTTTTCTTTTTTTCAGTTTGCCAGTGTAAACAACACTGCTAACTTTTTTTTTTTTTTGAGACGGAGTCTCGCGCTGTGTCACCCAGGCTGGAGTGCAGTGGTGCGATCTCGGCTCACTGCAAGCTCCGCCTCCCGGGTTTACGCCATTCTCCTGCCTCAGCCTCCGAGTAGCTGGGACTACAGGCGCCCGCCACCACGCCCGGCTAGTTTTTTGTATTTTTAGTAGAGATGGGGTTTCACCGTGTTAGCCAGGATGGTCTCGATCTCCTGACCTCGTGATCCACCCGCCTCGGCCTCCCAAAGTGCTGGGATTACAGGCTTGAGCCACCGCGCCCGGCAACACTGCTAACTTTTGAACCCATTCCACATGAGGAAGCAGCCAGAGACACGTGTCTGCATACCTGTCCCTGTGGAGGCGGCGGGGGGTGGGGAGACCTGGAACCGGGATGTGGGATAGATGGTGACTGACACCCACAGTTCATCCTACCCATGGGGGATTTTGATGGGTGGGCATGGCCCCAGAGGAGAAGGGGATGTTTGGAGGGGAAGAGGTAGCGCTCTCAGAAAACAAAGTGGGGAGGCTAAGCCTCGAAGTGTTTCCGAGAGCGAGTCAACTCAGAGAAGGGTCCTGACCCAGACTTCATTGGGCTTCTTGGGGATGTTATCTTATTGCTTTCCAATTCCCCATGGAAGCGGCCGAGACCCTCTGTGTGGCCAGGCTTGGTAAGGAGAACCCAGGAGATGAAGCAGTAATGGGAGAGGAGGGACACAGGCTGGGGCCCTGGGGCTGATGACAAGAAAGCAAAGCTGGGGTGGGAGTATTGATGACCCCTCCTTCCTCGCTGCACATGGCCCGTCTCCACCAGCAGCACTCCCCACCTGGCCGAGGTCCACGGTAATAGATCTTTCCCCTCTCTAGAATCTAGGCAACTCCAGGGCAGGGATGTCGTACCCATGTGTGCTGCATGAATGAATGAACGAATGCATGCATGCATGAGGCTGGTATTCCCTGACCCCTGCCCCCGGCACTAAATGTGCACCATGATTGACAAGCAGCTGTCACTATCACTTCAGGGACCCAAATGGCAGCTCTCCAAATTGCCGCAGGCCCTTCCACTGCCTCACTAGGTGAGGCTGGGGAGCCCTGACTCTGCAGGCACTTCCGGGAGCAGCCCCCAACACACCAACACACCACCGAACGCTCAAAGCTATGTGGCAACTGGAGATGCCCTCTGGGCTCCAGGACTGATTAAAATTCAGCTGTTTCAGATATAATTTATGCTGGAAATTTTAGATACCTTTAAGAAAAATAGGTCTTATCTAGAGCCATGGTGGGATTTTCCAGGAAAAACGCCACTGTGCAATTACGGGAGCATTTTCCCAGACACCAAGTCATTGAGGGAGTAAACGATGGGTGAAGTGAAATACTGAGAAGGATGGGCAAAGATCAGGGTGCAGTTTATGCAGTGAGCAGATGGCTTCATTTACTGTCCTGGGGTTGGTTTTCAAACACAACTTCATTTATTGTCCTGGGGTTGGTTTTCAAACACACCTTCATTTACTGTCAGGGTCTCACTGAAACTACACTAAGAAAGCTGGAATTAGCAGCATGACTTCATGAACCTGCCAACTTCTCTTCCCTGGGTTAAGTATCAAAACTAATAAATGCTGGACTTTTAAAAAGCCTGCCCCAAAATACAAAGCACTTTAAATGACAGCTGTGCTTTAGTGACAAATGCTCCCCACATTATATATGAGAATGAATCAGACATAAAGCACAGCTTCTCTGTAAACTGGACCAGCTGCAGAGTTCCGTGGCATCGTCAGCTTACCTTGGCTTTTTTGTCATCGCTTCCAGTCCCGTCTTTGCTTTTACTGACCATGCGAGCTGATAAAATATAAAATAAGAATGCTTGTCACACTCCATTTTCACTGTTCACAGAAACAGCCAGCTGTGGTGAAGTTGCATTTCTCTGGGATAGGTCCGTGTTTTGTTTAGTTGGGTCTGGTGGAAACCAGTTGGTTCTCTTCTCCCTTGAATGTGCTAGGTCTCACATTGTTAGTATCAGCATAGCACACTGGGGTCACTGATTAGAGCAACCTGGCAAGAGGGGGCAGCAGGCTGGCTGAGGGTGGGACCATGCAGAAGGGACGCAGCAGAAACTGTCACAGGGACATGATGACACGGAGGCTATCTAAGGAAGGTGCAGTCTCCCTAACCCACAGGCTCCTGCCCTGTTTCTGCCAGGGTCAGCCTCACCCCACTGGGACCAGCCCCACTCCACGGACAGGTGTTTTAAAAGCCTCAGGGCCATGGATATTGGTAGCTCAGTGAGGACCCAGCCTCCTGCAAGATCCAAGGACGGGGGTGGGTGAGTTGTCTCCACACTGCAGCCAGGCTTGGCCCTGCTTCCCTGCGAGGTGCCTGCTCACCCTCTGGGCCTTGGAAACTGCCTGGAGTCACCCAGCTCCCCTGCCCATGCGGCTAGATTGCCAGCAGCCCTGATTCCCACCTTCCTGGCCATCTTATGCTGACCACCCCATCTCCATTCCTGGTCACCTGCCTCCAGAATAGGAGAGCCTGGCAGGCTTGTCTTTGTCCCCTAGTTGCTGGTTGTACCCCCAAAGCTTACCCCTCACTAATAGGGGCTTTGGCCACCAGCCCCAGCTGCTCTCAGACGAGCCAAGACCGGCCCAGTGCTAAGCCAGGCCTGGTGGGTTTCTTGCCACTTGCTGGTCTTCGAAGGGCACAAATCCTCACCGCTTCCCCCTGTAACTGGTTTGTTGCAGTTAGCTACAAACCAGTTACCATCATACATTCCCACAGACAACATCAGCCTTCATCACACTCCCTGGTGAAACCAACCCATTGACCTGTCTGCCAGCATCAGTGCTAACTCACCCTTCTCCTTCTCTTGACAGTCACTGCTGAAAACTGATGATAGATTTTCTTCTTTGGTTTTAATATCATATTCCCTCTACCCCACAATCGAGTCTCTTGGAGCTTCTCGTTGGCTATTGTCACCTGGATTTCTAGAGGGACCAGCAATGAGTATGCCCAGAGGTTTTCCAACTATACTATATGGCAGAATCACCTGCTAAAAGACTCCCAGGCTTACCCCACAACTGGGTTTGTAAGCCGAAAGTGGCCCCGGTAACCTGCACTTTAATAAGAGCCCCAGGCGGATCTGACTCACGTGTTCTTTCCTTTGCCCACATCAGCCAGCACCATCCATGGCACAACAAAATCACCTGCTAAATCAACATTTCCCAAACTGCAGAAGCACTGAACAAGTCCTCCTCCAGGAAATGTTAGCAGGTAGAATAAAGTAAGTTTGGGAAACCCACTTGTGACCTTCTCAGAGGGTCACAATGACTGTTAGTACGTTAAAGGTTCTGACAAGTCCAGCAGCAGAAAAGCCTGTTTAACTTAGTTTAGTCTGTTTTTTTTTATCCCGCAGTCACTGGGCCATGGAACTCTTTTTTAACCCAGACACACCTCCAGTAGGCCAGTAGTCAAGAAAACATCATTTCAGGAAATATTGTAGTAACCTGTCAGGTCAGTTATTTGTCCCCTACTGTTATAGGATATAGGATATACTTTTTCTCTCTTAACTTTATTTTATTTTACTTCATTTCATTTTTTGAGACAGAGTCTTGCTCTGTCGCCCAGGCTTGGGGTACAGTGGTGTGATCTTGGCTCACTGTAACTGCTGCCTCCTGGATTCAAGCACTTCTGCTTTAGCCTCCCCCGTAGTTGGGACTACAGGTGCCCGTCACCATGCCCAGCTAATTTTTTTGTATTTTTAGTAGAGACAGCGTCTCACCATGTTGGCCAGACTGGTCTCGAACTTCTAACCTCAAGTGATCCACCTGCCTCGGCCTCCCAAAGTGCTGAGATTACAGGCACGAGCCACCGTGCCTGACCTCTGTCTTAACTTTTCAACACAGGCTTCTTTATCTATAGCATTTCAAAGTTTTCTCTAAAAGTAAAATCTAATAAAAATTTAACAGATGCTTGCAACTGTGAGCTTCAGTAACATCCATTTCTGGGCTTGGCAAATAACTGTGAAATTCCAAGGGCCCCAAATTTATGGACAAGCTTGCCTTGTGGCTATGAGGTCTCCCGTGGGACACCAACTCTCCTCTCCCTGATACTTGGGACTCTCCCCACACCAATCCCACCCTGCGGGGCTGCTGTGGTCATGCTCCTGAGGGCTCAAGATGGGCCTTGCTCAGCCCCCTGCAATGCCAGCGTGCGGATCTCCTCGTCCTCTGCTGAGGGAGGTGGCGGCATGTGGACCAGGGAGATCTTGTGTCTGCTCCTCATCTTCCTGCCACAAGGCAGAGCGGGTGGGGGCAGGGTGCTGGGCCAAAGGCACAGTGTGGGCTCTGGGCCACCTCTGAATGCTGTGTGTGTCGCCTGCTGTGTGTACCCTGCCCATCTCCGTGTTAGGAGTCCACACTCCAGCACCTCCTGGGAGGTGCTGTGGGATGCAGGACAGGTATGTCTTTCAGAGCCAACCTACCTGGATCCCAAACCTGGCTCTGTCACTTACTACTCAGTGACCTTCGGCAAGTTACTGCACTTCTCTGGGCCTCCGTTTCCTCATCTGCAAAGTGGGGCTGCTTGTGCCTACATGGGAGGGTTGGCGAGTTCTAGACACCGTGAGGGAAGCTGCCACCCTGCCGGTGGAGGGCACCCACCAACCTCCTGTGGGCTGATGGGCCATTGTGGACACATCAAGTGGCCAGAGAGTCAAACAAGGTGGGGAGCACGCGGCGGGGGTGCTGGTGACATGCAGAGTGGCAGGCAAGCGTGAGGGGCGCGTGTGGCCACAGCCTGAGCACGGGAGGAGACCGAGGGAGTGGAGCAGCTGCACCCAGGAGTCGGTTTAGTGGCGTCCTAGGAATGTCGGAAGCAGCAGGAGTTGGGATGGCCTGAAGCTCAGTGGCAGTAACCGCAGCCTGGGAGGCCCGGGAGGTCCCCAGGGAAGGAGCGAGGAAGCTCAAGACACAGACCTTTGAGTTGAGGGACCCGGCTGACGGGTTTTCCCCGCGGAGCAGCAGCAGGCTGCTTTTCAGTGGGCTCTGGAAGGTCAGCCTCTTTTGTGTCCTCTCCCAAAGAGGGGCCCCGGGCCTCTGGCTCCTCTCCAGGAGCCCCTGGAAATGCAGCCCTTCCCGAATCCTCCTCCGGGTGCGCCTGCTCCTTCTGCACGTTGGGTGTGATTTCCACGTGGAATGTGAACTCAGGGGGCACGTCCTGCCCTTCAGCCCACCCTGCACTGGGCCCCTCGGGCTCAGAGGCTGGGATCTCTGTGGAAACTTTGGAGAGGAAATCCACAGGGAGGGCAATGGCACCCTCCGCTGGGAAGCCTGGGACGCTGGTGGCTTCTCTGGCGGCTGTCTGGGGAGGCTGCCCATCTTGGACTGGGGAGACCCTGGATGCAGGGGAGTCTTGCAGGGAGGACTCATCGACGTCGCGGTCTTCATCCACCTCCTCCTTGCTCCCCAGCCTCTCTTTGCCCCCAGCTCCCTTCAGTGGCGGCCCCTCCTGGTGCAGGTCTCCCAGAAGCTGGTGCTTGAGCAGCTCAGGGGCGTGGTGGCCACCCTCTGTGTCCTCAGGTCCTGTCCCTGAAGGCTGGCGTGTGGCCTCTCTGGGGCCCTCAGGCAGGAGGGGAGCCCCAGGCATGCTGGACACGAGCTGGTGGCTCAGACCTGGGGGGCCTGGCTCTCCGAAGAAGACTTCCTGGACCACCTTACCACTTTCAGGCTCTGTGTGGAGATACGCAGGGGTGGCGGACTTCGGAAAGGTCGGACCCTTCTCGGCCCAGTCCCCACCTTTTGGTCCCCACTCCTGGGAGGGCTCTCGAGGGCCTCCTGTTGGAGGAGGCGCTGGGCAAATGGGACGGTGCTGAGGAAGGCTCGCGGTCAGTGGGATGGGAGCTTCTGGCTCTTTCTCCCCCAGGCACAGCCCAGAGACCCCAGAGGCCTCTCCGTAGGGTCCAGGCTGGACATGAGCACTAATCTCATTGGCCAGGGGCCTTTCAGGTGCCTTCCTCTGCTGGCCCGGAACTCTCAACTCCTCTGGTTTGAAGAGGCAGCGATAGCAAAAGGTTAACAAGGGCGCATTAATTGCTTAAGAGAGGGAGCATCATCCTGGACAAAATGACATTGAGAGGGCATCCTAGGCCCCCTAACAAAGAGATGGGAGCACAGCTCTGGGCTCATCTCGTTGCCTTTGCTTGCTTGGAATGACAACTCTCCTGGTCTAGCTGCCACCAGCTCCCTGGGTCCTCCCCTCTCTGGGCCTCAGTTTCCTCATCTGTAAAGAGGATTCCTGAACGTGGTGACCTCTGAGGGCCCTTCTGGTGTGGGTGTTATTCCTCTGCCTGTGATGGGCTCTGGTTGGGCACTGAGCATGTCACACATCTAGAGCCGCCTTGGGCTCATGGGCTTAATCTACTGGGAAAGCGGGAGGGCTACAGAAGCTTCTCCTGCTTTCTAGGGAATTTGAGCTTCCCAAAGAGTCTAGCCTCTAGATGGTACCTGGCTTGGGTGTAGCGAGAATCCACTTTCCTCTCCCTACCTCTCACTGTTCCCCCGCCTCCCTTTTTTTTGAGACAGAGTTTCACTCTGTTGCCGAGGCTGGAGTGCAGTGGCGCGATCTCGGCTCACTGCAACCTCCGGCTCCCTGGTTCAAGTGATTCTCCTGCCTCAGCCTCCTGAGTAGCTGGGATTACAGGCACCCGCCACCACACCCAGCTAATTTTTGTGTTTTTAGTAGAGATGGAGTTTCACCATGTTGGCCAGGATGGTCTCAATCTCCTGACCTTGTGATCCACCCACCCCGGCCTCCCAAAGTGCTGGGATTACAGGCGTGAGTTTTTTTCTTTCTTTTTTCTTTTCTTTTCTTTTCTTTTTTTTTTTTTTCTGAGACAGGGTCTCGCTCTGTCACCTAGGCTAGAGTGCAGTGGTGCAATCACAGCTCATTGCAACTTTAACTCCAGGGCTCAAACGATCCTCCCATCTCACTCTCCCGAGTAGCTGGGACCACAGAGGCACGCCACCATGTCTGACTAAGATGTTATTTTTTATTTTTGTAGAGACAGGTCTCCTTATGTTGCTTAGGCTGGTCTCAAATTCCTGGGCTCAAGCAGTTCTCCTGCCTCTGGGATTACAGGCATGAGCCACCATACTTGACTTCTGCTCCCCTTTTTGGTAAATGAAACCAGTGAAACTAGTGTCTACAAACTCTGCCTCAAGCCCATCCTCTGATAGATTTGGAAAATCCAAAATGTGTGATCATCAAGAATAGAGTCTTTACTAATAGACCTGCTATAAGACTCCTCAAAAAATAAGCCCCATTCAGATCTATCCAGGTCACTGACCACAGACAAGCCCCTTGCACAGGTGAGGTAGGCTCCCGTGGGAGGAAGGGCTCTGCACAGCAGACAGTGACGGCCCTCAGGAGCACTGCTGTCCCTTGGTCACACAGCTTGCTGCACACCAACCCAGCTGATCAAGGGCACACTTCATGTTTTTCTGGTTCATTCATGTGACATTCATTAATCTGGCTGCATATTAAGAACAGGACAGTTATACTCCTTGGTTCTCCTAATAAGCACCCTTTATGTTTTTTAACTCCCAACTCTTTGAACACTCCATCTAGTCGCAACACAACAACCCATGCAACTCACCAGCTCTGCTTTAAACAAAACCTGCAGCCCTGAAGGATTCGGGGGCTTGGAAAAGAAAGAAATTTGGATGAGGTGGGGGAGGAAGGTGTGGTCATGGACACACACAGGTAACATGTGGGCCCGACCCCATCGGAGGCAGGGTGGTTGCCACGGGCTCATCCCCAAGAGGCCTGGTCACAGCGCAGCAGCACCTCCAGCAGCACCTTCAGTCTGATACTGGCTACGCGCATGGGCCCCTCCAATTCCTATTTCTGGCATCGACCACAATGCATGCCACACAGCAGGTGGTTTAATCAGTGGATCCTGAACGTATCAACTGGTGTCAGGAAACACTGACTTCTGCTTCTTACAGGGTCTGCAGGTGCCTTATGAGAGCCCTTGGTCAGTCTCTGGGAAGAGCAGCCTACAGGCAACCCTGAGCCTGAGCGCCAGAACTGACCAGAGACAGGGGCTGCCCCTATGCCGCCCCAACAGGACAGGTTTCCACTGCCTTCCGGAAGGCGCTTTCCTCCTAGAGCTTACTAGAGTGCTCTTGACTGTGATGTTACAGTACTCTGATATAATACAAGACTTTAAGAAACACTATTAAAAAAGAGACAAGGATCCCAAACATAAATAGTAAATGTACCTTGAAAAGTAATGGATACAGGATTGTACAGCGTGTGTAGGTGTGGGGGTGTGTGTGTATCAATGAGGAAACTGACATGATTAATTACACCCCTGGAGGAAGAAGCCAGGTTAGGAGAACGTTCTTTTTTTTTTTTTTTTTTGAGACAGACTCTCGCTCACTCTGTCGCCCAGGCTGGAGTGCAGTGGTATGATCTCGGCTCACAGCAACCTCCACCTCCCAGGTTCAAGCAATTCTCCTGCCTCAGTAGCAACTCTCCTGCCTCCTACTCCTCCCATGTAGCTGGGATTACAGGTGTATACCACCATGCCCGGCTAACTTTTGTATTTTTAGTAGAGATGGGATTTTACGATGTCAGCCAGGCTAGTCTCACACTTCTGGCCTCAAGAAATCTGCCTGCCTTGGCCTCCCAAAGTGCTGGGATTACAGACATGAGCCACAGCACCCAGCCTGGTTGGGAGAATGCTAGGAAGTACTCAGCAGATATTAAATGTAGCAATTCTCAGGGGTTAGGAGGAGTTCGAGATAAATGAGTATTGTAAACACAGTAGTCCAGGTAAGTTAAGCCCCCATGCCCTCTTCAGGAGGCCTGGTCTCTAGACACTTACAGAAGAAAAGTCCACCCATCGTATACAGGCCTTCCCATGGCTTACTCTCAAAAGACTGCAGCTCCATCCTGAAACACCTTTTTCCATCTTACTAATAGGTACTTTATCCCTCCATGATTCCAGGCTGCTGTCAGAAAGCTTAAAATTCAGTGAGTGCAAAAGTCAAGTTCCCAGCAAAGATGGTGGCCTGGGCTTTTTCTCTTGCATGGAATATGTTCTGTGGGCATGTAGACATAGCCTGCACTAAAAATCAGTAGAAAAAACTCAGATCCACTTCTATTTATGGAAAGCAATGATTTCTAGAGGTCATACGTTATCAAAACCTCTAGTTTTACCTAAGTTGAAAAACATGACCTAAAAGAAAGAGGAGCCAAGCTTCTAGTTTTTGAAGCTCTTTGTTAGCCTAAGAATGAAAATGTGCCTTTCTGTGCCATGTGAGATGAGAAACGTCAGCCTGCTATAGGCTGTGACCTCTCTGGGGGCAGGAATGTGTAGTTAGGCCTCAAAATTCCCTCAACGAGGCAGAGTCTCCTAGGATCAGACGGCCTCAGAGGCAGCTCTGAACACTGGACAGAGCTCATCACTCGGGAGAAAAGAACAGCATCTTCCCAGCCCTTTTGCAATCTAGAAGCTTCCACATTTTACAGTAGGCTTTCAAGTTCATTTATCTAGCAAATGACAGAAAACAAGCCCAGCCCACATTATATCAGTATCACAGGTCTCCCATTTCCTAAAGTTAGGAATCTCTAGGATTTTTAAAGTTCTTAAGATATTTATGATAAATGATTACACAAAGCTGTCTTTCTTGAACACAGCAGTCTGATACCTGAGAAGAAAAATCTTAAGGGTTGAAGGCTGCAGAGAAGAAAGTTTAAAAGCAATCGCTTGGGGGTGACATGGTTAAGGCCTTGCTCCTGGATCGGCCAGAGGGCAGCCTGCAGTGAGAATCGCTGTATTTGAGTTTCTTTTTTCTTTTTGAGACAGAGTTTCGCTCTTGTTGCCCAGGCTGGAGTGCAATGGCATGATCTCGGCTCCCTGCAATGTCCGCCTCTTGGGTTCGAGCGATTGTCCTGCCTCAGCTTCCTGAGTAGCTGGGATTACAGGCACCCACCACCACGCCCAGCTAATTTTTTTTTTTTTTTTTTGAGATGGAGTCTCGCTCTGTCGCCCAGGCTGGAGTGCAGTGGTGCGACCTCGGCTCACTGTAAGCTCCGCCTCCCGGGTTCAGGCCATTCTCCTGCTCCAGCTTCCCGAGTAGCTGGGACGACAGGCACCCGCCACCACACCTGGCTAATTTTTTGTATTTTTAGTAGAGATGGGGTTTCACTGTGTTAGCCAGCATGGACGCCTGGCTAATTTTTTTATTTGTAGTGAGACAGGAATTCACCATGTTGGCCAGGCTGGTCTCAAACGCCTGACCTCAGGTGATCGGCCCGCCTGTGTTGGGATTAGTGGTGTGAGTCACCATACCCAGCCTAGAGTTCCTGTTAGACATTCATTCTCAGCTCCCAGGTCGGACTAGGTCTTTCAGAACTCTAAATGCCTTAGGAATTGCCCAGAAATGGTATTAGAAAAAAACCACCAGGGCTCTTTCTATATCTGAGTAGCCAACCTTTGATAAGAACCAACTCCCTAAAATCTCCTGGATTTGTGAATTAGGGCTCGGGTCCATTTAAATGATCTTTTCAGGGCAGAGCCCACCCCATGTCCCTCCTCCCAACCCCAAAGTCACGGCAGGCAATTCCAGTTCACTGACCTTGGGTCACGTGACCAGCAGCTTCGTCTTCCAGGCTGGGGGTGTCTCCAATGCCTGCTTCCTCAGCTGGTGTATGTGTCAGCAAATGAAGGGGGGTAAAAGCAAAACAGTTATTGTTTGCTAGAAACCAAGCTCTCTGTGTCTTCTGGTATTTTCCCTAAAACATTCAGGAAAGTCACGTCCCAAGAATACTAAGGTGCCTCAGCTCTGGCTTCTCTGCAAATGTCATTGCTGAGGATGCTGGTGGTAAAAGTTCACTAAATAAAATGCACAGCACCCACATGCAGGTGTGGCTATGACCTAGTAGGAAAGACTTTCTCCACTGGGGCCCTGAATGCCCCACTCCACAAGGACACACAGGCTGAGTGAGGTCAGAGAAGCAGTTTGCTGCTGAGCCGTGGTCGTGGAGGCTGTGTCTAAGCAGTGGCTGCCGGGAAGTTCAAGGAAAGACTTTGCCTGGGTTGTGGAGTCAGGCAGACGGAGTTCGTATCCAGGCACCAGCATTCATTCAACCTCTCTGAGCCTCCATTTCCTCATCTAGAACCCCAAGATGAAGATACTAGTTTGTCTTGTAGAAGGATGGTGAGGGTTAGTAAGAGAATTTGTGTGAACACGTTTAGCCTGGTGCCTGGCATATGGTAGGTGCCCCAAAATGTTACGTTTCCTTCCTCCCAACTTCTGGGCAAATGCCTTTCACAGAATGCCCTGAATGGGTGCTACTTGGTAAGAGGGAGGCTGGCAGTGCTACTGAGCAGTTTTTGGGGGTATCTTGGGTTCCTGTTTAGGAAGTCACAGCTCACCCCAAACAAGAAAGACTGAGAAAGTTCCTGACCACATCAATAGTACCAAAATCAACGTGCTTTAAAAACACCAATTTCTGCATCATAAACAACAGGACGCTGTTACAGGACAATGCATGCAATTGTCCAGAAGAAGAGTTTATAAGGCAAGTTGGCCACGTTGACATGCACTGACCTCAGGCCACCAGAATCACCAGCATTTCCTGAGGGCAGTGATAGAGGTCACTGCCTCTGAGAAATGCATACATGTTGCTGGTCGGGCCATCAGTCTTATCTCCCAGGCCTGCAATGAGTCAGTCACTCTCTGCACCTAAGACAGGAATGCTGGATCCCCACCACTGGCCAGCACAGGCCTGTGTGAAGACTGTAGGCAAGGGAGAGAAAGGTTCTCGAGGTTCCTGGCAGCCATGTGGTAGCCTCAGAAACACCCAGGCCATTGGCTGTCCCCAAGCAGCTGCTAAGGGGATGGGAGGGTAGGCAATGGGCTCAGGGGGCTCCCATCACTAGCACTAGCATGACACCGACACCCTCTGGGTCCATCTAGCCGACACTGCGCTGCCCACGAGGCCCAGTGGTGACAGTGCCTTGTCATGCGACAACATCACTGAGCGAGTGTTGGCTCAACTGCCTGGGCACAGCTCTGAGTGCAGATTCGGCCTGAGTTTCTGACAAGGTGATGGCAATGGTAGAAAGGCTCAGAGCGACAGCAAATCCCACTAAATGCCAGAGTCCTTGAGACAGAGAGCATGTGGAGGCTTCCCTGGACACTGTCACTGCCACGGCACTGGGTGAGTCACCTTGCTGTCACACACCAGCGCAGAGCTGTGATAGCCGGGCCTGGCGTGAGTCAAAAATTGGAGGCTGCGCTGTCTTTGCCACCACTTGACCCCAGCAAGGGAGCTGCTTGGAAACACCAAGGAGGGAGGGAGGGCACAGTGGAGGTTGGACCTCACATCACCAATGGCCTCTCTGTACCCTGGGGAATGTTTTACAAGAGCCAGGAGGGCCCTCTGCTCTCCAGCAAGGCAGGATCCTGCAAGGGGGTGGCCACTCTGCACCCTAACTGGATGGCCCGTGGGGAGTTTCACTGGAGCACCAAGAACAGCAAACAGGATAGGCCAGAGCGAGGTGCCAACTAAGGTCTGCATTGTCAGTAGCTGAAGACACATGCACCCAACTCTAGAACCACCCCACCACACGGAGGGTATAAAGGGATCTTTAGGAGGATTTCCTTGGAGAGAGTGGCTTGGGGGTGGTGGGAGTGGCTACATGGCCACCCCCCATCACAGTCCCAGTACAATGTTTCAAGTCAATACGTTGAGGACATGTGGTGCGTGTCCCCTCTGGTTAGGGACCTGGTGGTCTATGATCAGGGCCCCACCAAGGAACACTGAGAATCTGCCCATTCTCAGATGGAAGATGGGCTGGCCTTGCTTTGGGGGCAGAGCAAAGGACAGATGCTACAGTCCTGAGAACTGTCCGCACACCCACAGTTTGCTTGCCAGCATGTCTCCCGTGGGCCCCATGTGGGCACAGGTCAGAGAGAGTGCATGGGAGCCTCAGATCATGTCTAAGAGGTGGCAACCAGCAGGACCTCAGAGGTGAGGCTGCAGCCAGATCTTCAGACTCCCACAGGGCCGAGGAGATGACATGGCCACCAGAATCCAGTGCAGAGGAAGGGCTCTTCAGGGGAGGATAGCTGGAGATGGCAGGCTGGGGGAAGAGTCTAGAAGAATTCAAATAAGGTCCCCATGGAGAGAGAGAGAAAGAGTATCTCCTTGAAACCTATGCAGGGAGTGTGACATGGCTCACACCAGGACCGACTCAGTAAGAACCTTCCTGTTTCTCCTACCCCTCCCCTCCCCGCCAGTCCCCGAGGGGAATGGCGGCAACTTTGAATGGAGTTAGAAGCTTTGACTGTCACATGGGACTGGCTGTTCTAATTATTTAGCATTTGCACACTGTGTTTTGCCACTGTGGAGACTAACGTACTTTCAATTACTTTGGAGTGATGGAAAAGTCAAGAGTTGGCTAGAGTTTTCATTCTGGGCAGGGGAGGGATTTCCCCCAGTGAAATAACTGAAGGGAGAGGAGGAGAGAAACTGAAGTTCCCCGTGATCTCATCCCGTGATCGTGCCACGGTCTTCAAACATCCTTCACGTTCAAGGATGAGGCTCTGCCCCAGCTTCGAGGACATTCCCTCTGCCCATCTCAGGGGACCTCACGGATCAAGTCACAAAGTAGAAATGCACTCAGAAGGGGCCAGGGTGGGGCTGGTCTCAACACACAGAGCCCTAGAGAACGCTGCAGGCTTCCCCAGTAGCTGCAGGGAGCACCATCTTTAGGAAGGAAAAGAAACTCTTTTCTGGGCACATCTTCCCTGCTCTCCATTGCTGATGAAATCCTGTCTAGGCCTCTTCTGCATTTCTTGTTGGGCAACTGGGCACCCTCCAAATCACCAAACCAATGGCTGGCATCTTTACGTAAGTGCAGTGAAGAAGACGTGAAGGAAATGACTCCAGGAGCTCCAGGCTGTGCGGGCGTTTCCTAGGGCCTGGGGAGCTGAGCCACTCTTGGGTGACTGCAGCCTTGAGCCCAGCGCCCTGTCCGATCAATTCCCCATCACCCGTGTTGACAAGGCATTCTTGTCATGCCTGTCCTACACGAATATGTTTGAAAAGGAGACAGAGTCCCAGAACTGGATGCTAGATCACATGTCTCAGCTCCTCTGGGACCACCTCATTAAGATCACCAAAAGATGCGGTCCAGTCATCTGCACCCTCTGTGCGCTCAGGTGATCTTTGGGTCCACCCCTTGGGAGGTGGCCCTGTGCCGGACAGTCTGAGCAGGAGGGTGGACCGACCTCAGGTGCCAAGAAGGCACGGGTCTGCCACCACCTGCCCCAGAAAATCCTGCAGAGAACTCCCTGGAACTGATGCGCTGACTGAGGCAAGATGAGGAGCATCTAGAAGAAGTCCAGAAGGCCCTAAATGCTCTGAGAGGCTGGCAGGCAGCCAGGGAGGTAGCTGGGCACCAAGACATCAAGCTACTCACAACCCAAGATTCCCAGGAGCCAGAATCCACCCATGTTCCTGCCCCACAGGAGGATAAACACGCAAAGTGCCCTCACTTCTGTCGCAGGTCAGCTGGGGCACCGGGCAGGGCCTTGACTGCCTGGGGGTCTCTGGGGCTCACCCTCACCTGTGGTTCCTTCTGGGATCTCCATGTGGGGCTGGGCGGCAGCCTGCTCGCCGGGAGCTCTCTCATCCACTAAGGGCGCTGTCACATCTGGAAACCACCGAGAACCACCTTAGAGGAGCCAGGATGAGCCATGCCCATCACCTTTGCTTCTTGTGCAGGAGCAATGCAGGGAGGAGGAGTGAGGAGGGGATCAGCCATATGCAAGAAAGCAGCCCTGAAGCAGGGCCTGAAGCCCCTGCTGCCAGCTCCCCAGGAAGCACACTGACATGCTGCTGAGTGCTACTGGCTCATGAACTGCCCAGCTCATCCACCAGGAAAGCCCGGCAGCCCTGTCTAAACCCCAGTGAAAGGGACTGCTGGGCATGGCCCCAGGCATTTTAAAAGAATACTGAAAACCAGATGATTGCTCATAACTATTTGATCCTTAAGGCGAGAATTACAACTGAGACAACACAGGGACTGGGGGGGTTAGGGTGGGGGCTATGGTTTTGCTGTGAGGCTTTGGGCAAATTCTTGGTCCATTTTGATTGGACAGTTTCCTCATCTGCAAAATGGCAGTGTCTTCTCTAGGTGACTTCCAAGACTTCTCCCAGCTCTAACCCCTGTCTCCAAGCCCATGACCCATAATTCAAAAATGCAGAGTCCCTTGCATGGCAATAAATAGGTCCGGTCCTATCCAAAGTCAGGCATTTGACTGTCGCATGGGTCCACCTTCACAGCAGAGGCAGGAGGGAAAGCTCGGTTACCAGGAGCTGCTGTCAGTCTCTCATCAAGGTAAACGTTTCCAAATCAGTGTTCCTCTCAAGCAATGCCCTGGCACACTCCCAGGCCACTCCAGGTACACGTAAGGAGTTGTCAGCTTTGAAGGCTTTCCAAGTTCAATGAAGGACATTTTAATTATGGTTGTCTTGGGTGCAGGCAGAGCAACCAGGCAAGATCCCAGCCCCAGCAGGGCTCCCTCCACCAGGGGTGGGAGCCAGTGCTCTTGAGTCTCACGCCTGCACAGGGTCCAGAGGGCATTGAGACTTGTTTGGGAGATTCTTCCAGACTCTGTTGAGGGAGCACTGAGAGCCAAGGCTTGGGAAGCTGGCATGAGGTCTGGCATCGTTTTGTAGACTTTCTCAGGATGGCAGGCAACTTGCAAAACCATCCCGACAAGATGAACAGGAAATGTCTTGCATCACTGGCTCTAAGAAGGAGCCAAGAGAATCTAACCTGGATATTCTTATGAGGCTAAGAACCTCAGCAGCAAGGCCCACGCCTGCTGCATCCTCTAAAGATGCAGCATTGTACCAAGCAAGGGGCGGGCACTTGACAGCCACTTTCCAAATTCATCCAAAGGTAGATGCTTGCAGAGACACTTGGGCAAGTTTTTCACCCCAAGACACAAGATCCAAATGAATGTGCAGAGCCTGAAGAAGTGCTAAGAAAGGAACCTTGAACCTCCAAGGGGAGGATGGAGAGATAGACGGGCAGATACTGCCAACTAGTCACTTGAAAGCCATTATTAACATTCTTCTCCCTTGATTTATTCTGCTAAAGAGGCTGGAAGGCAAAATGCTCAATGTCCTAGCCTTGCCTGCAGCAAGGGGTGGCCATAAGACCCAGCTCTGGCTGATGAGACATAAGTGGAAGACTGCCACTTGCAAGAAAACTCCTGTTTTCCTAAGGGGACGCATTTAGTTTCAGGGCCCTTTTGGCCACTTTACTTTGCAACTCATTCCTGCTTCAAAGGCAGATGTGATGCCTGGAAGTGCAGCAGCCACTTTGTAACCATGAGGCAACAATCCAACCACTAAAGATGACAGAAAATAAAGACGGGAGAGCATCAGTGACCCTTGAGGTGCTGGCCAAGTTCAGGCATCTGATTATGTGAGAAAAGTAAACCTCTTCATGTAAATGCCACAGTTAGTTGGGGTTTCTGTTTCTTACAGCCAAATGCAGTCTTGACTGATACAGATGGGAAGCAAGAGAAGATGGTCAAAATCAGGACTGAGGAGCACGTCAGGAAGTATGTGAGTCCTAATAACCTAGATGCTGAGTGTCTGGAAAGGACAGGTTAGAAGGGCTGGAACAAACATCGTGGCCAAAGTCCAGAGGCCCAGGCCACACCCAGAGCCCCCAAAATGAAAGATACTAAACCAAGATCAGATGTGCACTGACCTGCCCCTTCCCTCAGCCAAATGGCTGCTCTGGGACCTGCTGGCCCCTGAAGAAAGAGAGAAGAGGGGGCTTTTGAAGGGGGTATGGGAGGACAATCGTATGGAGCGGGGCTTTATGGAGCTGTGCGCAGGACTCTCCAAGGGTGGCTGCCTCCAGAGCACACATGGGATGAAGGTGCCCACGCTCAGCACCAGCAAGCAAGGCATCGAAGCAGGGCTCAGCTCCCGCCACACTGTCCTGCAAAGCACCGAATGAGTGAGCACATTTCTCAGCCAGGGGGAGCAGCAGATGCAGCCAGGAGGGAGGCTCAAAGCACAGCTAAGCACAGGCTGGAGGCATGGAGGGGGCGTCTGAAGCGGGGCCCACCTTCCGCCGTTGGAGTGCTCTTAGCATCAGAGGTTTCAGAGCCCAGTTCCTCAGATCCGTCCTCAGCGGGGGTCTGCAGGGGAGATTCTGGAACACACATGGTGAGGCCTCAGAACGGCGGCCTCTCCCCAGTGCCCCCTTTTAATCTCAGGAGGAACTGGGGAGCAGTGTCTTGTGGAGCTGAAAATTGCTCCCCATGGAAACAGTCGGAACACGGCCTTGTGACAAACCCACAAAAGGGACCAACCCCACCTCCCTCCCTGCCAACACGACTGTGCCCCACACCAGGGCCATCAGACGAGGACACAGGTGATGTGCGTTTGCTCCTGGGTGACAGGAGAAAGTGCCTCTTAACCAGCTAGTGGTGCCACCTGAGGCAAAGGTTTATCTTCCACTGGTCAACGGGCAGCAAATACCAGAAAGCCCAGCTACGCATGAACCTTCTGCTTTGTTCATTGCTATTAATTAACAAGCAGACACCTAGGAAAACACTCAGAGATCCAACCCCTTCCTTGGAAAAGGAGTCAGCTCAGGGCAGACACGGTGCTTACTTCTAAGTGGACATTGGGTGGTGTTTGGATGCCATCAAGCATCCACAGAAAGATCTCCAAGGACTGATGGACAAGCTGTGAGTTACATTTGAAATGGCAGCCATGGGTACCTACAAGAAAACTGTCCTTTCAGAATGGGAAGCTTGGGCAAGAGAGGCCCAAATGATCACAGTGGTTGACAGTCACACCCTCACCAATAATGCCCTTAGTAAGGCAGCTTTTGTTGGCTTAATAGAAATTAGAAAACTACTTCCTCCTCCTAGAAGGACTGAATTGTCCCTTCCCTGTGGTACTTTGGCCACTGGGAGTCAATCTGCCCTGGTTATTTTATGGGCTTATCAATGCATCCTGCAGTATCCGGGGCAGAGCAGGTCAAGACCTTACCCTCTGGAAGGTTGAGACTTCTTGAGAGCCTGATGTATACAGAGCTGAGTGCTAGGTACTGGGAAGGGACAAAATGCTTAGAAGATACAGCCTGTGCTCTGGGAGTACACACTCTCCTGAGGGAGGAAGGATGGCCACACACAGCAAAAGACTCAAGGGCAGGCCCAGGGCCAGCCAATAGGGTCCCCCTGGAGGTGCCCTACCAGGAAGCGGGAGTTATAGGCTAGAGAGCACGGGACCAAGGGGCAAGATGGCTGGGTTCAAGTCCCAGTTCCACTTCTTTCTGGTCAGGTGGACTTGGACCTGCCTCTCAGGGCCTCTGTTTCCTCATTTGTAAAATGGGTGAGATGACCTCAACTCTACCTCCTAGAGCTGCTGGGAGAATCCCATGAGTGAATGTTGGTAAAAGCACCTTCAAATCATGAGGATTTATACATGTGGATCTAGTTCTCATCGATGTAAAGGAGCCAAATGTTTATGGGGGCAGCCCTGGGCTTCTCTTCAATTCAATCCCACCTGGGCTGTCCACAGTGGACCATGGTAGTAAATCATGGCTCAAACCATGATGGGTGGGTGGATGGATGGATGGATGAATGGGTGGATGGATGGATGGGTGGATGGATGGATGGATGATTGGATGAATGTATTATTGGATAGATGACTGGATGGACGGGTGAATTACTGAATGATTAGATGGATGTATAATTATAAGGATGGATATATGAATTAATAATTTATTAGTTGGAATGTATGAATGTATAATTGGATAGAGGTATGATTGGATGTATAATTATATGGATGTGTGTATGTATAATTGAATGATTAGATGCATGTATGAATGTATAATTGGATGGATGTGTAATTGGATATATGACTGGATGATTGGATGGATGGATGGATGGATGGATGGATGGATGGATGGGTGGATGGGTGGATGGTTAGATGGATGGATGGATGGATGGATGGATGGATGGATGGGTGGATGGGTGGATGGATGGATGGATGGGTGATGTGTAGATGATTGGATGTATGTATGATTGATTGGATGAAGATATGGGTGGATGGATGGATGGATGAATGGATGGTTGGATGAATGGATGACATACAGATGATGTATGTATGATCAAATGATAATGGGATAGATACAGGAAGGAATGGATGGATAATTGGATGAATCGATGGAAGAATGAATGATGTAGAGATGTATGGTTGGATGTATGTATGATGGATGGATGATTGATGGATGAAAGAAAGGATGGATGGATAAATGGATAGATGGAGCTGGTGATGTACAGATATATGACTGGATATATGTATGATTGGATGGATGATGAGAAGGATGAAGGAAGGGATGGGTGGATGGATGGATGAATGGAGGGAAGAATGGATGATGTACAGATATATGATTGGATGTATGTATAATTGGATGGATGATGGGATGGATGAAGGAATGAATGGATGGATGGACGGATGGATGGGTGGGTAGTGTACAGATGAGTGGATGTATGTATAATTGGGTGGATGGAGGAAGATATGGGTGGATGGATGGGTGGATAGATGGATGGATGTGATGGTAGCATGTAAAGCTTCCATCAGAATTTCTGAGTTCTTTGCCAGTACCTCTTAGTCATCTTCCCTCAGCTTCTCCTGTGCCTGGCAATGCATGCCCAGAAAAGCCTCTCCAGTCTTCCCAGTGGTGTCTCAGCCATCAGATCAGTGGTTCCTCAGCTCTCAGCTCAGTGAATTCACTCCCCTCTGTATGACAGAAATTCCTCACTCTTCATGCACATGGTGGCTGAATGGGTTTCCTCTGCTGTCTAATTGCCCTATCCATGGCTTAGACTCAACTCTGGATAGATCAGAGCCTCTAGAGAGTCAGGCAGATGGGGCCCAAATCCTGGCTCCACAACCTATTGGTTGTGTGATGCTGACCGAATTACCTAACCTCCCTCTGCCTCAGTTTTCTCCCTTGTATAATGGGCATGGGAGTAGCTCCACTGGCTCACAGGGCTTCTGTCAGCATGAAACTGTTGAATGCTTATTTAAAGCACTTTGTACCATGCCTGGCAGATGAGAAGCCCCCAATAAGTGGCAGTGATTATTTTCAGTCCTTGTCACCTTGGTTGAAGGGCCCAATGTAGCACTGCTCATGCTCACCAGCAGGAACTTGAGTATTTTATTTAGTGCTGATGGTGGTGATGCAGATATGGAATCAACTGGGAATCCTGGAGGGCCCCTAGCAGGTAGCTGACCATTACACCAGATGGACAAAGTGGCTCTGGTCACATGAGGAAAAGTCAAGCATCACGTTGTAGTCACAGATCCCGTCAAGCACATGGGGACTTTTAGTGTGGAAACTGCAAACACTCCCTCTGTGGCACAGACTGCTGAGGGTCCACCTGGTGTCCATTCTCTCTACCTTCCTTGGGAACAGAGCCCTGATATGATATAGAACAGAGCTGTGCCCAGTTAAAAGGCCACATCTGCCAGCTTCCTGGGCAGGCAGGGGTGGCTGATGAGAAGCTAAGGGAAGTCATTGGATAGGAAGTCCAGGAAAATGTCTGGATGGGAGGAGCTCAGCTGAGAGGGTCTCCCTTTGTGCCCAGCTCATACCCTTCCTCCTTTTCCAGGGGCCTTTCTGAACATGAGACATCTTGAACATGAAAGTCACATACTCAGAATGGTGGGCTTTTTTTTTTTTTTTCTGGTTGTGTGAAAAGATCATTGTCAGTTCACTGGCTGTGCAAAACAGGCTGGGTACCAGAATTGGCCTGTGGGTCATAGTTTGTGGAGCCCTGCTTTAAGGAATGGCTCTGGGGCCTTGGTGGGGGACAGGATGAAGGGAGGAGGGTGTAAAGGTCTCAGGGCTGCTGTTGCAAAACCAAGGTTTGTGGTGAGGAGGTCTGTGTTGGATGGAATGGAGGTGAGGTCCCTGGGTGCTGTGGAGGGTTGTGGGAGGAACTGGCCAGGGTCATGATGGACAAGTTGATGGTGGTACCACCAACAGCAGTAGAGAAACCAGTAATGGCCCAGGATGGGGGAGCACAGAGTTTGGTTTTTATTTGTTAGGCTTGGGCATTCAGTGGAGTTGTCCCTCGGGCGACAGGAAGGCTCTGTTGAACTCTGAGAAAGGCACTCCACCTGGGGCGGGAGTAATTTAGAGTCAGTTTCAGGATGGGGCTGGTTCTGTGCATGAAACAAAATGAGAAGATGAAAAAAAGGCAATGGAGTTCAAGTGCACTGTGAGATCAGACACCTTACACGCTTTGTTAAAACACCATCCCTGGACACCTGGCCCTGGCTGCACCCATCCCACAAAGAACAGCTCATCCTAAACAAGCTTCCAGCACGAACATATCTCCTTGGTCCTGGAGCTCGCAAGAGCCTGCAAACTGCCGCAAGAAGGCTTTGGACAAATGATAAGGCAGCATCATGCAGACTTCTGGGTTTCGTTATTTTTCAGAAGCCTTGACTGCCAGGGCACAGGGGCATCTATATGGGCATGATGGTCCCCCTTTCCCCAATCTGTTCCCAGCTTGAGCCCTACAGTTCTTATCATTTGCATTGGTCTCCTTGTTAAATTCCTTGGAAGGAGGGAAGGAGGAAGAAGCCCCATTTGCATGTCTTATCTGGAAGGCATAACAAGTTAACTCATCAACACCTTTTAATTCATTAGGGTGCACTAGTTTATAGGTAACCAACTTTCATCTACTTTTCAGCTCTCTTGGGCAGGTATCCAGCCATATTTCAACTCTTAGCATCCACTTAGACACTCTTTGTTCTGGTATTTAACATGTAGTTTCTTGTCTTCTGTCACTTATGTAAAATGTTGTTAGTAAAGTGACACCTTCTGCCAAGTCAAACCTGTCACACCTGACATAAAAACAGCTCCTTGTAAGCTTTCAGTAGCAAGAATTAGTTTGATGAGGACTATGAACACCTTAAGTATTACTTGCTTTCTTGGAAAGTATGTTCTTTGGGTAAGCAATTTATCTTCAAATGCTTTCCCTTCAGAGCAGTTTCAAAAAGGTTGGCAATTTAGATTTTGCATTTTTGCATACAGTATATATAGTGCATATATATATACACACACATATGTTTTGGCATAGAACTTCTGATCATGTTTTATGTGAAAGCATTGAATAGTTTTAGCAAACATATTTTAGGCAACTCAAACACTAACTTGGTGAACTTGTCCTCACTTTACACATTAAATTTAGTTTCTCTTCAGAAAATAAGAGTGGTAAAACCTACATCTTTCCCAGACTTTATTTCATTTTTGTTTTTTGAGACAGGGTCTCGCTCTGTTGCCCAGGTTGGAGTGCAGTGGTACAATCACAGCTCACTGCAGCCTCAAACTCCTGGGCTCAGATGATTCTCCCACCTCAGTCCCCCAAGTAGCTGGGACTACAGGAGTGCGCCACCACACCAGGCTAATTTTTGTATTTTTTGTAGAGATGGGATTTCACCACGTTGCCCAGGCTGGCCTCAAACTCCTGGGCTCAAGCAATCCACCTGCCTTAGCCTTCCAAAGTGCTGGGATTACAGGCATTAGCCACTGCATCTGGTCTCCTGGAGTTAATTTTAAAGGAACTTGTTATTTTGGAACAGTTTTAGATTTATAGAAAACTTGCGAAGTTAGTACAGAGAGTATACCTCACATCCAGTTCCCCTGTTGTGAACATCTTACAGGATCATGGTACATTTGCTGCAGCATAACACATATTTTAAACTTACTCTAAGCCAGGCTGCCCTGCCTCTAAATAGAATGTCATTTTTCACTGGCACAATTCATATGAGGCATCTGTTGTGATTCTAACTTGAATTCCACCCAAGAGAGTTTAATAAGTGAAGTTCCAAGGGGGCTTGGTGGAAAGAGTGACAAGGGGGAAACATGGCCCGTGTGGGGCTGCAGCCATGGACCTGCTCCGGCAGCCCACGGTCTGAGCACGAGGCTCCTTTGTCATCTGTGAAGTGGATGTCATCTACCCTCACGGGCTGTTGTGAGCATCACCTATTGCTAATAGTAGAATGCTACAAAAATGTCCCAATTAGCATTCTGAGGTAGTTCCCTTATAAGTAGGGTGGCATTTACTATCACCCAAATCAGGACACTTGAAGGAGAAAGCAGCACTATTTTTTTTTCTTTTGAGAAGGAGTTGACTGGGCGTAGTGGCTCGTGCGTGTAATCCCAGCACTTTGGGAGGCTGAGGTGGGCAGATCATGAGGTCAGGAGTCTGAGATCAGCCTGGCCAACATGGTAAAACCCTGTCTCTACTAAAAATACAAAAATTAGCTGGGCGTGGTGGCGGGCACCTGTAATCCTAGCTACTTGGGAGACTGAGGCAGAAGAATCGCTTGAACCCAGGAGGCGGAGGTTGCGGTGAGCCGAGATGGCGCCACTGCACTCCAGCCTTGGCGACAGAGCGAGACTCTATCTTAAAAAAAAAAAAAAAACAGAGAGAGAGAAGGAGTCTCTCCTTAACATGGTTTCACCATGTTAACCAGGCTCGTCTTGGACTCCTGACCTTGTGATACACCCACATCGGCCTCCCAAAGTGCTGGGATTGCAGGCGTGAGCCACCATGCCCAGGCTGAAAGCAGCACTATTTTTTTTTTCTCTTGAGATGGAGTTTTGCGCTTATTGCCCAGGCTGGAGTGCAGTGGCATGATCTCGGCTCACTGCAACCTCCACCTCTCAGGTTCAATTGATCCTCCTGCCTCAGCCTCCTGAGTAACTGGGACTACAGGTGCCCACCACCATACCCGGTTAGTTTTTGTATTTTTAGTAGAGACGGGATTTCACCATGTTGGCCAGGCTGGTCTTGAACTCCTGACCTCGTGATCCACCCACCTCAGCCTCCCAAAGTGCTGGGATTACAGGCATGAGCCACCGCCGCCAGTTGAAAGCAGCACTATTAATCATGATGCAAACAGATGCACTGGGATAGGCTGTGACACCCACACCCCAGTCCCAGGCACCTGGTGAGGGAACTCTTCATCTCTTTGTCAGGAAAAGAGGCCCCCAATCCCAGTTTCCCCCAACAGCACCAACTGCCAGGGGGCAGCTGGGAGAGTGGTTTCAACAGGCTAACCTTCGGGGTTGAGCTCTTGGAGGCTACCACCCTCACTTAACACATCCTGAGCACCAGGGTGGGGCGGGGACAGGGTAGGCAGTGTTGCAGGATGGAGAGGAGGAAGGGGTGGGAAACAGCAGAGAAAGAAAAAGATGGAGTGGGGAGAGAAGGAGAGGGAAAGCGGGAGCGAGGGAAGTGGGAGAGGTGGTGGAAAAGTTTAGTGGAGGGGGACACAGTGAGGAAGGGACTGAGAAAGATTTATTTATTATTATTATAATTGGACATGGGAGTCTCACTCTTTTGCCTAGGCTGGAGTGCAGTGATGGGATCTTGGCTCACTGCAACCTCTGCCTCCTGGGCTCAAGCGATCCTCCTGCCTCAGCCTCTTGAGTAGCTGGGACTATAGGTGCATGCCACTATGCCCAGGTAATTTTAAAAATTATTATCTGTAGAGATGAGGTCCCACTATGTTGCCCAGGCTGGTCTGGAACTCCTGGGCTCAAGCAATCCTCCCGCCACAGCCTCCCAAAGTGCTGGGATTACAGGCGTGAGCCACCATGCCCAGCCTCTAAGAAGGATTCAAAGGAGAAAACAGATCTCCTAGCTTGGAGCCGCTCAGCTGCCCTCCCTGGGGAGCTGAATCTGGCAGCACTGGCTGGAGCCGTCAGAAAGCACATTTCCCTCTTTCCATCACCACGTGATGGCTGACCTCAGGCAGGGAGGCTGCGCCGAGCTGCATTCCCCTCTCCCTGTCACCTCCTCACCCAGAGCTTCTCGGACACCTCTGAGCAGCCCCTGTTCCTGTAATGTGCCCATGTCTTCCTTCACCTCCCCTCAACCTACCTGCACCCACTTTCCTAATCCCCAAATTCCTCATAATCCAACACCTTCCCTGATTCAACAGATGGAAATCTGAAACGAGCGTCGAAACCAGTCCTGGAACCTCTCCAAGCTGGGATGGCCACTCCCTGTGTGAGAAAGCTGGTGGTCCCAGCGCTTCCCACACTCAGGGGACCTCCCAGAGACCCCACCCACTCCAGTGATCTTCCTGAATAGACACATCCAGTAGAGGTCACTTCCCACCTTGGAACTCCATGGCTTCCATCCACTACCCATACCCTGGGCTGCAGCGTGTTTTCTTATTTTTAGCATTAAAAGAGAAAAGTAGAGTGTTTGCCATTTTGCTTGCTTAGAAATGGGTATGGAGGCAGGGACTGAGTCCACCCTGCCCTCGGGCTGCACCGTGGGCTGTTGCTGTGAGCACTCACTGCTAGCGACACCCGTGGAAAGAAGGGCTCCTTGTAGCACAAGCCAGCACTGAGACAGCCTGGACCAACCTTGAGACAACCTGAGAACGTGGTCCAACCCTTGGACCAACTCAGCACTCCAGCAGTGGGTGAAGGGCCAGCATGGGGAGACAGAGGGAAGGCTGTGTGCTCTGTGGGGTCCCAGACCATGTGGTCTGACAGTGAAATGAAACATTTCATTTGGAAAGAGAAAGGAAGAGGTGAAGTTAATTTGCCCAAAAGATGGTATTATAGAATATTTAGAAGTTGATGTCGTTTATTAATGTGGCTACAGTAAGAATCCCAGGGCTAACCAACTCTTGCTAAAGAGAGGCCAGTCAGGCCTGATCTAAGGAAGAGATAAAAAGCAATGTTTAAAGTCACATGTTTTACATGCTAATCAATACTACTGATTTATAAGCCAACAGGTGTGGCTAACGCCTCAAAAAGTACCCTGTATTTGAAAGATTGTCAAGCCCCTGCAATCTTTGTCCGTACATTCACTCATGTGGGTAACTCAAGGTAAATTTCTTCCTTTTTTTTTTTTCCAACAGGGTCTTGCTCTGTTGCTCAGGTTGGAGTGCAGTTTCATAATCACAGCTTACTGCAACCTTGAACTCCTGGGCTCAAGTGATTCTTCCGCCTCAGCATCCTGAGTAGCTAGGACTATAGACATGCACCACAACACCCAGCTAATTTTTAAATTTTTCTTAGAGACGGGGTCTTGCTATGTTGCCCAGGCTGGTCTCAAATTTGTGGCCTCAAGGGATTCTCCTGCCTGGGCCTTCCAAAGTGCTGGGATTATAGGCGTGAGCCACTGTGCCTGGCCATTATCTCACTGCTTGAGTTATCTTGGCCCACTCAAATTAATGAGGTTTCACTCTACTGACAATCTAAGACAATAATGTATTTAAAAAGTCTTTACAATTCTGGATGCAAATTGTTCCTGCCACCCCTTGGCTTGCAGTGATCTGGGCCTGCTGTGCATGGCTGTCCACTAACCTTTCAGGCCAGCGTCCGTGTCACCCTCTTGGTCTTGGAGCATGGTGTAGCCCTCTTGATCTTTCCTGTCCCCCAACCCGTACGTCCCAGCATGATCTTCCATCACATCGAACTCCTGGCGGGGCTCAGCCATCCTGGTTCAAGGCTCGCCTGGGGAAAGAAGAGGGGAGGATAAGTTCTAGGGAGTGTTGGGGGGCAGAGTGGGGGTGAAGAGAGAGAGGAGCCCTTCCTCCCAGTTCATGGCAGGCAGATCTCAGCCTCCCCATCACCCTTTCCAACAGCTGGGCGCCCATCCTCATCCCGTGCTCCATATTCCTGCCCAAGTGTTATTTACGTCTATCCGCATGCTTAATTTACCAACACATTCAGTTCACATTCAAAACCACCAGGTGAGGGCCAGGCATGGTGGCTCATGCCTGTAATCCCAGCACTTTGGGAGGCCGAGGTGGGTGGATCACCTGAGGTCAGAAGATCGAGGCCAACCTGGCCAATAGGGTGAAACCCCATCTCTACTAAAAATACAAGAATTAGCTAGGCGTGTGGCAGGTGCCTATAATCCCAGCTACTCGGGAGACTGAGGCAGGAGAATCAATTGAACCTGGCAGGTGGAGATTGCAGTGAGCCGAGATTACACCACTGCACTCCAGCCTGGGTGACAGGGCGAAACTGGGTCTCAAAACAAAAACAAAACGAAACAAACAAACCCACCAGGTGAGGTAGGTGAGGTGAGCCTGACTTGTTATTCCCAGCTTTCTTTCCACTTCCTTAAAAAAATCAATGCTGCTGCCTAGCAGTTTGCTCTTTCTCTTCAATGGTGAAGGTAGGACTGAACAGGAGAGAATGGCATCAGCAGAGCACGTCTGGTAAGGAAAGTGAGGCACGGAGAAGTGAAGGGATGGTTCAATCAGATGCCAACTGGCAGCAAAACCAACTCTTTACCCATCGGGGGTGTCCTGACTCCTCCAGCTCTGAGCTCGCTGGCTTCCCTGGAGTCAGGCTGTGGCCCCCACTCACCGCACCATCACCCACCAGGTCCCCCAGGTGTGCGTTCCAACGGTGGCTCTCCCAGTGTGCTGAGAAGCACCACACAGGGCCCAGTAGGGGCATGAGGCTTGGGATCTGAAGAGCAACACACACCCTTTTTCCTCAAAAGCCCCAGCAGGGAGAGGCTGCTTCAGCTTCAACAAAGCCGGACAGAAACCACCATTTGCTCACACTTTGTCCTCATCTTTATTGTGAATTATTATTATAATAATTATTATTTTAAAAATAACTCACAACTTTGAATTTCTGAACTTTGTTTTTTTTTTGAGAGAGAGTCTCGCTTTGTTGCCCAGGCTGGAGTGCAGTGGCGCTATCTCTGCTCCCTGCAGCCCAGGTGAGCCCAATTCGGGGTGTCCCATTCAACCTGCAGCTAAAGCTTTGTGAACACTAAGAAGTTTAATGAACACAGTAGTTTTGTTCTTTGGATTTGATCGATTCCTTTCAATGACCAAGTTTCTCCTCTTGGAATATGGTAGACAGAGGTGTGAAAGTAAAAGTAAAAATCAGATGTGCTGGCTTTTCTTTCACATTTGCATATTTTCATATTCATAGCTCATGTCTATAAGAGGCCTGAATTTTCTTTTTTTTTCTTTTTTTTTTTGCCCCTGTGAATAATCCAGGATAAATGCTTTGTAGATTTTTTTGGGGGGAGGAGGGACGGGGTCTCACTATGTTACCCAGGCTGGTCTCAAACTCCTGGGCTAAAGTGACCCTCCCATTTCCGCCTCCAAAAGTGTTGGGATTACAGGCATAAGCTGCTAGCATGCCTGGCTCTATTCATATTTTGAGTAAAACAGTACTTTGCTATTTCTTCATGAGAAAAGTAATACAATCTTATTATAGAAAATGTATTTATACAAAGCAAGATGGGAAGAGAAAATCATCCCTCTGCTCAGAAATGATTACTGTTGACATCCTGCCATACCAGACTTTGACAGTCATGGATTCAGCTTTTGGAATTTTGGTCCATCATAAGTGACGTGAGATTCCAGGAGAGGGGGCACATGCCATCTGGCTCTGGCTGAGGAATAAATTTGAACCCCTCTTCCTCTATGGGGGCTGTACGGGAGTGAGGCACTTAGTAGGGAATGAGCCCAATCTTCCCAGCTGCCCTGTCCCATCCCAACACGGCTCTGCTGTTCTCAGTCCTCCAGGGCACACAGTGACTCTGATGAAGAGGCAAAAATGCCATTGCCTTGTGAAAAATGGCCTTGAAGCAAAAGAGAACATTTTGATCACATTTGAAAAGGCAGATACTGTGTGGTACGAGGGCTTGACTTCTAATGAATGTATAACAGGAAAGATCAGGCACTTGTGCAAACGTGTCTGTTTTCATGAATCTGTGGATTTACAAAGGTTTGGGAATGTATGTTAAGGATCTGTGATATTTCCCTCTAGCCTCTTAGTCTATGCATTAAAAAATATAGTTGCAATTTCCTGACCTCGTGATCCGCCTGCCTTGGCCTCCCAAAGTGCTGGGATTACAGGCGTGAGCTTCCGCGCTGACCCCCTCACATTCTTTTTGCTTCTCTGTTCAGGTCTCAGTGCTCATTCTAACGACTTGTGTGGACTCTTAATTTATGAATAACATTAACCCTTGATCATATTTGTGGCAACTGTCTTCTCCAGTTGGTTGCCTTTTATTTTGGTTTCTGATGGTTTTTGATAGGCAGGGTTTAATTTTTATATAGTCAAATCTGTTTTCCTTTGTGATTTATTCCATTGCTCTATGGTACAGAAAGATCATCCATTTTCTTCTAGGTTTTTAGTGGTCTAATTTTTCATATTTATTGATTCATCTGGAATATTTTTAGGTTTAAGATGGAGTGAGGTTGAAAACTTTCTCCCCAAACACAACAGCTGAAGCCAATGGACCCAGGCCTATTTGCAGACCAATCTGCCCTCTTTCCCAGGTCAATGCGCCATGTACTCTGTCCCGTTTATCTGTCAGTTTTGGTGCTAGAGCCTCCTGATTTAAGCTTTGGATCTCAAGTCTTATTCTCTAGGTGGGCTCAGATATCATTTTCTTTTTCAAAATTATTTTTGAAACCTTCTTGTAAGTTTTGTCTTCCAGATATATTTTAGATTTTTTTTTCCTGCAAATTCTCAAAGCTCCATTGGGATTTCAGCTGGAATTGTATTATAGGCCAACACTATAAAAATTGCTCCCTTCATATTTAGTTTTCCCACTCAAGAGCACAGTATGCTTTTCCATTTTCTTCTGGTTTCTGAATCTCTCAGTTGGGGGTGGAACGTAGTCCCACACCCTTCCTGCCATGGCCACATCGCCCTGGGCTTTACACCGCTTTCGTGAACGGGCCTCTCCCCGTCAACACACGGATGATTAATTAACCAGGGCTCTGGGGCTCACAGCAGAGATGTGGCTGGGGCACCAATCATGGCTGGGGTGCCAGTGCCGGGGCCGCCACAGTGGCAGTGGTTCCATCAGAGGTTTCCAGGGAATGAATAGGAGAGCCATTTCCCAAGCCTCGTTTGATCAGACAGATGTGATTCCCTCAGTGGAAAACCTCTCTCCATGAACTTGTGAAAAGAAGCTGCTAGAGTTCAAGATGAGTTTCACACGATGAGCCCCATCTGCTCTGGTCTCTATGTTTGAGGTCAGTTGTCCCCATTGCAGTGGTTGCCTATATTCTAAATGTGTGGGTTCTAGAGAGAGCAGCTCTCTTTAGAGAGAGCCTCTGAAGGAGCCCGGGAACTGTGAGAATCCAGGAGCCCACATGCTGGACAGCTCACTATGCTGTGTTCATCACCAAGTCCCAAAGCCCCCCTGCAGTGCCCTGAAAAGACAGGTTGGTGGTGAGGAAAGTTCTCTTCCCTTGGTCACTGAGTCCTGCCAGCCCCAGCCCACTGCCCACACACTGCGCCCCCATCCATCAGCTCATTCCTTTGCACAGAGCCAGAGCAGGTCAAAGGCACCATCTGGCCAGCCAGGCTGGACCTGGGCCTGGTCATGAGCACTAACTCTAAGTAGACCCTGGCCACCTAAAATGTGTCTCAACCATTCTCAACGGGCAGATTAGGCATACATTAAAATGGAAGGAGGCTAGGCCCCATGGCTCACACCTGTAATCCCAGCACTTTGGGAGGCCAAGGCAGGCAGATCACCTGAGGTCAGGAGCTAAGACCAGCCTGGCCAACATGGTGAAACCCCGTCTCTACCAAAACCACAAAAATTAGCCAGGTGTGGTAGGGCACCCCTGTAATCCCAGCTACTTGGAAGGCTGAGGCTGGAGAATCGCTTGAACCTGGGAGGCGGAGGTTGCGGTGAGCTGAGATTGTGCCACTGCACTCCTGCTTGGGCAATAGAGTGAGACTACTCTCAAAAAGAAAAAAAACAAAACAAAAAGGAGTGTTTGTGCCGTGTGAGCCATTCTCCCCTCTGCCTTATGTTGGATTCTTAGAGGTGGCTTGCAGCATGTCCATCTTAGGTCCCATGTGGGGCAGGATTGCTTGTGTTGTGGCTGCGAACACCCCTTCTCTGTACATCAACACATCACCAAGTCTATGGCGATGGGGTAAACCACTGGACATGCTGGCTGCTCCCCACTCACCTGTAGGTGGGTGAGGTGGCTGGCTTGGACTTTGTCCACAGGCAGGGGCAGCACCACAGAGGTGCCCTAGGTGAATTTTGCAGCAGCAGGCGGGGCCGACTGGATGGGTAGGGAACGACTGTTGGTAGGGAGGTGACTGCAGTGGCCCAAGCTTGCAGTGAAAAGGCAGAAGTGATAGAAAGGAAGGAACAGAGCCAAGAAGTATAGTTGAGAAAATACTAGACTGGGCTTCAAAATTGGGATGGGGTCAGGGAGAGGGATTAGAAGCTCATATTATGCTAGAGGTGGGCTTCGATGGCTGGGAAATAGGGGGTGGGGGGTCACATGGTCAAAGGGAACACCCTCAGGAGGGAAGGCAGCTAGACAAGGGTGGGTTCTGTTTTTAGGAGAGCCGCTGCTTCAAAGAATCCTGCCCTCTCTTCCCCCTGACTGCGTTTTACTAACTGGTGACTCATTTGACTTAATGAGCTCTAGAAAATTTGTTCTACTATGCCCCTTGGCTTTCATTATAATTTTAAATTGATTCCTTTTTAT